GGGCACGGAGTCGAAAGCAGAAGTGAAGTCAAGAAACGTGCAGCAGACGTATTTGGCACCTTTATCTAATGATGAGACAATACTGTTTTGTAAGATGGCTGCAGCATCTAAAGTACTCCTACCCTGTCTGTAGGCAAATTGTTTGGGGTCTTCGAAGCTGTTAAGGGAGGATTCAAGTTTAAGAGGTACTAGTTTTTCCATAAGCTTTAGAAACGGGGAAGTGATGGCAATGGGTCTGAACTTTACGTTCTTGCCATTGCCAGGTTTAGGGACAGGGACTATTTTATTGTCTTTCCATGGAACAGGTACAACGTTTTCGGAGAAAGAAGCATTTAGGATATTAGTTAGAGGAGAGCATAAAGCATCTGCAGATTGTTTTAGAACATATGCAGGTATGCCATAAGGGCCAAGAATACATAAGGGCTTAAGAGTTTTAAGACATTTCAAAACATCAAGAGTGTTAAAGTCCTGAAAGTTATCAGCTACAAGATTAGTAACGTTAGAAGTGGTTATAGTAGAACGAGAGCGTATAAAAGACAGATTAAGAGCATTAACATCACAAGAGGGAAAAACATTACATCGCTTACTATTGCCAGTAATTTCGTTGAAAACTTTCCACATGCTGATAGGAGATTTGCATGATAAAAGTGTTTGGTTATAGATGGCAGTAAGATTTTTGATTTCAGATTTGATTTGAGCATTAATCTTTTTAAGTCCTAACTTGTCTTTGCATTTATATAACATTTCTTTTTGCCTGCGAAGTTGTTTGAGATGGGGAGATGAGAAGCGGTCGAGGCGTTTGAACAGTGTTTGTTTGGGACAGCATATGTCGAGGCAGAACTTAAGATGATCCGTTATATCGGTGATTGAGTCATATAATGTACTTTCATAGAATAAATCCCAGTTAGTATTTTTTAACATGCATCTTAGATTGAGTAGGTTGTCAGATGTGTAGCATCTTTGTTGTGCCTTCATAGACAGGTGTGAGAAGATTTTAATGTGTGTTTTGCTGAATATTTTTGGTAAAACACGGACAGTGCAGTGATCTGAGTTTAGTATCGGTGAACGTATACGTGTTTCATATACTCTTTCGTCACTAGTAAAAACTAGATCGAGTGTTTTGTCAAGCAGAGTGGGAAATTTGACTATGTTTGTGTGACCAAGAGCTTCAAGAAGGGAGCAATCTGAGGAGTTGAAGTCCCCAGTAATAACAGATAGAGAGTTGTCAAAGTTGGCAGCAGCAAACATGGTGAATTCATCAGCAAAATTAGATAGATCAGATGGAGAGCAACTAGTAGAAATATACAGGTTTGTAATATGGATTCGTTTATATTTGGGGAGATGTTTGGGGCGACATTTGACAGTAATACAGTCAATGGAGTCATTTGAGAAGGTGGAGCAGACGTTATTAGAGACAGACCATTTGGAGTGAATAAAAGTTGCAACGCCACCACCATTTTTCTTATTACAACATTGACGGTCTTGACGAAATAAAATAAAGTCCTTTAGTGAGATAAGACTATCATCATACAGTTCGTGCAACCACGTTTCTTGTAATGTGATGATGGCGGTATTATGATAAGTATCAGTGGACATCAAGGATTGTAGGTTCATTATCTTGTTTGGCAGAGAGCGGCAGTTTATGTTCATTATAACGGGGACCGTAGTTAAGTGTATTGGTGTACGTTTGAGAGCTCTCTACCACTACGATGTTTCCTCCTTGATTTCTTTGGAATATGAAAGTCATTTGGTCGTAAATGATTAACAAAGCTACGAGAGAAATGATTCTGTTGGAATTCATATTTAGGTGATAAATAAATGTTAGTAAACAGTAGGCTGGATGAAAAATGTAGATATTACACTAGCTGGCCCAAAAATTCGAACAGGCCGCCAAGGTCAAGGCCAATGTTGTAGATAATAGGATGTGCGAAGAGTATCATGAGGTGCTGCTATGGTCACGTTGCATTCTGCAAGAGACATTCTATTAAGTGGCGATTGTGTTGCAAGATATCAAGGGGATACCCTTAATTACAAGGTGTAGGTCGTCATCGGTGTGTGAGATTGTGCTGTGGGTATACCTGCGGTGTGTTGGCTTTTCTGTTTGTTTTCCATTTCAGCTCTGTCCGTGTGACCCAGGTTCTCGCAATGGCATCCCAGTCAACGTGTATTGGTCGTGATGGAGAAAAAGGACGGATCCGTATTTTGCCGGAGAGTGTCAATGTAGTTGAAGATTGAACGATCAATTCGTGGTTGTTTGCTCAAACCCAACTTCCCCAATTTTTCGTGGAGGCATCGATCAGCCAGTCATCGTCTCATCGGTCGCTGTTCAGAAAGAAGTCAGGAGAAGACCGTCAGAAGCAATATTGTGATTTATTATTGTAATATTTGTTCATAGACCTTAGTTGTAACATTGGTTATATGTTGGTGTTAGAATAAAGAATTCTCGAGTCGCCAATCTGTGTTCTGGTTTTTGCGTCCGTTCGTACTAAGCGTTTCTGAGAAGCTTCGAGGAACAGCGTGAGGCCCAGCATAGCAAGAGCTGGGCATTAACGGTTTACGAGACGTGGCTGGCATTACATATAACAGGTCACTCATTATTACTTACTTTCTGTTGGCTTCGAAGATGATTTTTCCTCTCTGCGACCCTAGCATTTTGGACTTGACCAAAATATCCAGAGCAGTTCCGAGTAACACTTGTGCAAAGAAGACTTGCAGACGCGAAGGAAGACAAATTGACAAGAAATAAGACGAATAAATCCAGGAGAACTATCAGAAACTGTCACTGTCCAAATCTAACTACACTGGACTTCAGTATGTCCTTGGAAGTCTTTCAGGAACTATGCTCAATAACTAACGCAAAAAGCTAGAACAGAAATTGGTGAATCAAGAACCCTTTATTCTTGCACCAATACAGAGCCAACCATTAGGTTATTGTACACAAAGTCTAAGAACAAATGTCATGACAATAAATCATGATAATACTTCTGATAGTTTTTCTCTTTCTTCCACTGAACAGCGAACGATGAAACGATGACTGCAGTATCGATGACTCCCGCCAAAATATGGAGGAGTCGGGTCTGAGCAAACAACCATGAATTGATCGTTCACTCTTCAACTAAGTTGACAAATGCCTTGCACCGTCTGTAAGTGTCTCTGATACCTCAGCTGTTTCAAGAATGCTTCATTGATCTTAAATTTAGGAACCAACTGTTTCTTTTGGCGGAGTAGTTGCGAGGGTGTGCGGTCCACCAAATTCACCTCACGAAACGGCTCTTGTACCTTCTGTTTATCTGTCAGGGATAGGCGCCTAATGAGAGCGGCCTTAAATCGCTCATACAAGTTTGGTGCAGGGTCGTCCAGGACGTCTGCGACATCTTCCATTACGTTTTCTGGAAGACTGACTATGAGCAGTTTGGCTTTGGTCTCCTGAGCCTAAATGCGTCGAAGAGAAAACTGGGCTTCAACGTGTGTAAACCAAGCTGTAGGGTGATTTGCCCAGAAGGTAGGCATTCGGAGGGTAACAGCCATTTGAGCAGGAGCACTGTCGTCAACCGTGTCAGGGTAAGTTGTGGGTAAGATAAGTTACACAAACGATATTGAACGAAATAACACCAATACAAAAGCAATGATGAAACTGGGCGAGAAAACAGAGAATAAATATTTGTGTATATATATACATAAAACGATACACCAAGTGATACAAAATAAGTGAAGAAAAAGTGAGGACATGAATGGTGCAAAGAAGTTAGTGCAGGGCTCACCAATTGTAGGTGTGAGGTTTTTATCCCAGGCGAGTTTGCCTGTCACACTTACAAAAAGACTAACTTCCTTTACCTAGGTCTTAATCAGTACTCCGTCTATCCTGTAAGTCCTGAGGAACGAGTGAACAGCAGAAATGAAAAGGATTCACAACGTGCCCGTAACCACTAGCATATTTATAACAAATGTGACAGAAGTGAATAATATAAAAGGATTTATAACTTATCTGTACACAGAGGAGTAGTGAGCTTAAGAGGTGCTTGTATTAGAGCACAGCGGGAGAGCAAACGTGTAAGCACCAAAATGTATAGGCAGCGAAGTGCCGTGAAGTAAAGTGGAGTAGCGCCAAAAAGATGGGTGAGTGAGTTGAAACAAAAGTTCAAAGGTTCAATGTATATTACATGTCATTATCCACCAATCTGTTTGTTGGTCTTTCCTTTCAAGTCTGCATAACCACCATCGATAATATCATTATTGCTATTGTTGTGCCCCTTTTTAACAAAATCGGACGACCAGTGGTTCAGGGGATTTTCTCCACTCATAGCGCCAGCATCGTCTTAATTCACACCATGCTGCAAACATATATAGCCAATCTCCCATATAACTCCCATCGGAATACATGGCAGATGAGTAGCTGGACTAAATGTGCGGACGTTTACTGAAGATAAGAAACTTTTGACTTATAGCCAGTGAGCCCATAGAAGTCAATCTAGCCTACTACAGCTGGTGAAAAGGATATCAGATAATGAATCCAGCAGATTACTTAGTTGCTTAATACATTTTCGTTGTCGTTCTAAGTGACACTTTTTTTTTTTACTATTTTATATTTACTATTTTAGGTCTCGGAATTGAAGGCATAGCAGCAACATCTTACACTTAACTCTAGAATTCAAGCCCTCAGAAATGGATACAGCGAATTAGCCTACTCAATATTTTAACGTAAAAATTGTCAAGCTTTTTTTCCCAAGTTTTTGTAACAAGTGACCAACCTTTCGTCGGGCATCTGGTGCATTAATCCTTTTTTCGTGACATATGAGCAGCTAGTTGCATCCGAAATCAGCTTTGTTTTAATGTGTCAGCCTGCTCATTTTGGCGGACAACTATTTCCTTGTTTGGATTAACTTTCTATTCATATCTGATCTCACAATTCCCCTGTTATTTGTAGGTTTCGCGGATATATTTATATGTTATTGTTATTAGACTTTGTTTGCCAGTTCTTTAGTAAATAGGCATCAGTTAAAATGGCAAATAGGAGCTGTCACTACAAATTAGTGATCCTTGGCGAATCAGCTGTAGGCAAATCTAGCATTGTCCTAAGGCTGGTGAAGTGTCAGTTTAGTGAGTATCAAGAAGCCACAATTGGAGGTTAGTTTATGCTTCTAGTTTTTATCTTCTAGCTGCTTATATCACTCAGACAATCGTCCTGGAGGACCCCCCAACAACGGTCAAATTCGAAATCTGGGATACTGCAGGTTGGTAATTTTTCAAAATACATTAGGTTTTGATTCATGTTGGCAAATTTTTTGATCCTACGGGGTCAGTCACTGCTTTTGGCCCTTTGACAGGATCTCATGGGTTCAAACTTTCGGATGTTTTTATCTCAGTAATTATAGATGTATTGACAGCCAGTAAGTCCTGAAGGATAGAATCAAAGCATGTCACCTTAGCATATGGCACTCCGAGTTGTTGGTAGCTTCTGTTTGAACTTAGGTTTAGTAGTCTTTTTATAGTGACAGGGGTCAGACTGAGTAATACTTTTGATTGTGGGATTTATTACATGTATTAGGTAGAACTGGAGAGCTGTCTGAGAGAATAGGACATGTCAAGCCTAATTGATACTTGAATTTTCAGCTATTCACCTTTCAGTGGGCTTCTCGACGAAAGTGTGAAACCTTATCTGAAAATGGAAATTTACCATTGATGGAGATGTAATGCTAAAGTACTCAACTGTGGATTATTGCGCAGATGTTTAACGTCACCGAATTTGTATTTCTGGGTCGTTTACATGAGTTGGAATCATGTGAGGAGGAACACTGAGGTGCAGTGCAAGCCATTTGTAATTGTGTGTATTCGTTAAGGTGGTTTAAACGTTAGCAACGCCGCTGGGATTCCGTAATCGCAGGAGTAGCGCCATCTAAAATAGCACCAGGAAACTATTCACTGTTTACACAATTGTTCCTGTAGGTTGTTGCCCACAGCGAATAGAAGGCAGAAATATAACTTCAACAAAGCGGGTCCAGTTAAGAAGCCTAGACAATTTACAAAGGTATCTTTCATCACGATATGCTCTGAGTCATTTTATTCAGAATATTTTAGTTTCGGTCATACTGGTCATATGCACATTAGCCAGGTGACGTATATTGACGATGTATGAATTTTCTTGTCATGTGAGTAAATATTGCCGTCCTAAGTGTCAGGGACTTGGTGAAATGACTAAGTAAATTGTCCAAACAGATCAAAGAAAGTTTATAGCTACCTTACTTGCCGTTCTAAACTTCGCTTTTTGTTACTGTATATTTAGTGCGTGAACCTTTTCCTATTATCAGGAAAATGTTGCGATGTTTCTGTAAATTCGGTACTGTAATGGCTTCTGAGGTCCGTTGACGTTTCTAACCCTAGTTGATGAGATTGTTTTCACAACGCTTCTGTTCATACAGTCAAGATCGGTAGGGTTTTGGACCAATGTGTTCGTGTTCCGAATTTTAACGACTAGTGACTCAACCAACAGTTTCGTCCAAACCTGAAATTTTTTTAGCTTTTACAGATTTGGGGTTTTCCAGTCTACAAATGACTAAGCTGTATGGCCTTAGACGTGTGGAGCTGTGGCGCTGGACTTCCGACCAGTGGGTCATGGGCTCGAATCCCACTCTACCTTCTTAGGTTTGGCCAGCCAGGTAGTACCACTAATCCCCACACACTGGGTGTGGCTTAGTGCCAACTGCACGGGATTGCATGTGGTTGTTCAGTAGCATTCCACACTTTAATTCATAGCATTGCCAATATTATTTAGTCTGGTCCTCTCGTTAAGACAAGAGTATAAACGTTTTGATAAACCATATTAACGAACAATCTGTACGTATTTGTTGGGTTCGTTTTGACTTACCATATCGCTATCTTGTGCTTTAGTTAATCTAGTCGGTCATTCTGCTTTCGTTGGGGTTTTGTGACAACCTCAACTTTGCCTGGTAATACTTTAGGAAAACACTTTTATGCTCCGACTTGGGTGGTGTGCATGAGTAGTTACAACCTGCATTCTGTGAAGATACTTTTCTCAGCACCCAGATTTTTTTGGTTTGAATAATTGGTTTGTGCAACTGATTTTCAGACTGCGTAACAGGTTGTAACCTCGCTTTTCAAGTTTTGGCTCAAGCATTTGGAACGGAACAATAAGGCGTTACAACAGCTTATTGCTTTGAATGTTATCTGACTATCGATATCTAGGTTACGAAAATATATGAATGAAGGGGATCTTCAGTGGTTAAGTAAAAGTGCCACCTATCTGACCAAACTTTTCACTGGCTTTACTCTTAACTAATTTACGTCCATTAAGAATTGCTCTATAACTAAAACTTTTTTTTTTGAAAAATTCAGGTCAAGAACGGTATCATAGCTTAGCCCCTATGTATTATAGAGGAGCTCAAGCAGCCGTCGTTGTTTACGACATAACAAATCCAAGCTCATTTGAGCGTGCAAAATCTTGGGTACATGAACTGAATGAAAAAGCAAACACTGCCAAAGTGATTGCGCTTGCTGGAAACAAAGTGGATCTTGAAGAGCAAAGAGCTGTTCCATTTGAAGTAAGGAGTTACTTTTTGCCTTGTAATTTTTGTGCCCATCTATGGGTACCAAACTTCTAAGATATCATTTGCTGAACTAAACTGCTTTCCACCTATATTGCTGCCTCGCTAACTTGATACTTTAATAAACCGTTACAGTGTGACTCTTAGTTTAGTAAATTAATTTAAGCACGGTTTTAAAGTCACCAATCAAATCTTCCATTCATATATTGGAATTTAGTTCTATATTGCTAATTTTAGGTAGTATGTTCTACAACATTTATGTTCTGAAGTCTCTATAATATTGTTAATCCACAAATATTAAAATATCTGTTTCTCATCTTGTTGATTACTATAGTGATGTAGTTTACTTTTATAGGCTGTCAAAAACCTATTTTTGGAACGTTCATTAAGATATTTGATACTTTTATTAGCTATAAAGTGGCTTCCACGTCTTTAATCTTTCATACTACTGTCACAGTCAACGCATACGTCAGTGATTCATAGAGATCTTTTACAGTTCTTGGCAGGTTCCGAGATGAATTAAGATTGTTTTATTCCTGTAGGTGGCTTACTAACTTATAACTTTCTTCTCTTGCCTCGCGTGCTACACGGAGTGTGGCGACTTGAACTGCCGCACATTTGTGCAAAGTTCTATGTCGAAAACAGACAGACAGACAGACTAACTTATAAATGAATCGACAAACAGCATGTACTACTTATAGCTATGAATGCTGCTCTGGTACGTTCATTTGTGGAGATGTATGCACAAGATTCCTTAATTGAGACGTGTGTGCTTTGGATAAGAAGAATGATAAAAGGGGGAGGTAGTTTTTGATTAGGTTAACCTTGAAGTCTTGCCAAGTGAAATATTCTTTGTAGTCCCAAAGAAACGAAACTGCCACTTTGTGTTCAGATCTCGATATAGATAGTAATCGCCACTGGTTGATGTGAGTAATATCCAACTATTTATATGAATCAACCAGTAGAATTTGTCATGATGCACTATACCTGCTTTTTTAATTGCTATTTATGCCATCAGATAGTTCACATGCTGTGATGTCAGTAATTTCGGTTTCCAAAGAAAGCTGGTAAAATTTCATCTGGAACCGTGTAAATTGTTTCAGCGACGAGTCAGTCAGCTACTGAAATCACAAGGTTATTTTCTTAGAGCTAAACTATCAGTGTCAATAGTTGCAAATTTAGTCAGATATAGCCTTAGGTTATTATAATTGTGATCTGTGTGATGTGACGACTCAGCCAGAAACTGGTATTAGTGCCTTCATGTCTCAGTACTATTTTGATGTTGTGTGTGTGGTGTGAATAGATTTCATACAAATGCTGAAGTTTATGTAGCACCATTTTCAGTGAGCTGAATAGGAGACTTGGGCACAATAGATTTACTGTTGTAACCTCAGGTTCATTGTGACTGAGAGACCTCTAAGCTGTTATGTACATTCCTTAGTTGTCAGCACTATCTACTGATGTCTTTTAATATTATATTGGGGTATAGTTCGAGTCTTTTCCAAAGACTTACAAATATCAGCAAATTAATCAGCCTCCAAACGCTGGATGAAGATTACCACTTTGCTCTAACTGTGTTTGTGCGATTTCGGTTGGGATTTTGTTGTTACAATTAAATATTAAATTACTTCATAGGTATACCTTTAATTTTAAGCATTAATCTTTTGACTACCTGTGCTATATGTGGTTCATCTGCAAATGTTTTATAAACACTTTGTGAACACATTCATTTCCTCTGAACTAGATGTTATGCATGGTGTTTGCGTGTAGATTATGAATCGGATTCCCAATGATTCCGGTAACAAATGTAAGGGATGAGTTGGTAGAAAACTAACTGGTTCTGTATCTTCGGTAGTCTTTGGAGTAGTTTTCTGCTCACTAACATGATCCAATGTGAACATTATCTGTTAAAACCGGTATAGTGTATCAAAACTACTATAAAACTACTTTGGGTTATCGAACTACGACTAAAAACATGGTAGAAAGCTGCCAATCACCTTCATCAGAATGAATGTAGAAAAGCGAAGAACTGGATAGGCCTTTATTTTTTAGGTTTTACCGATTCAGCAGGGGCATATAGACACACATCTGACTTTGTTCGAAAACGAAAATTTACCAAAAATGTAAAGAATGTAGTACATCCATTTATGACTGAAAAGCATGGAAGAACTAAACTTCAGTATGTAGTGTTTATTTGTGTTTTTCTAGATGAGTTATGTGTCATCCCAGTATAACTTTAATGGCCGCACATAAACGATATGGTACAGTCGAGGGTGGGTAGACTTCGATCTTCCTCGTGGAATGCTCTCCTATGGTCATGCATTTATAGCCTCTACCAGGTAAGCCCTATTCACTGCCTTCACTCGGCGGAGTTGTTGCTCACAAAAGTGAAAAGGCGAATGCAGATACCTGGTACTTACAACCGAACTGGTAGACATGCCGGTCTACCTGAAGAAGCTGGAAAACCCTGATTCCAAGCCTATGATGTACGTGGATGCCAGTATGAGAAAGGACCGTATGGCGTATGAACCTGTTTTAGTCACCAACAGACACGGGAATGTAGTTCCTGATGCTCTTCCACTGCCTTGTGGATCAGACTTCAAGTCAAAGGCTCAGAGTGTATCCCTTAAGACAACCACCTGCTTCGATGTAGACGTCAGGTCAGTGTTCCAGCCGCTAATACACCAAGTCTGTTTTAATAACAGAAATTACTTTGGTGGTCTCTAATTATTACCTCCAGGGATTACTACATCAACCTATTATCTAATAACGTCCAGGTTGTAATCACAGTGGTATTTATTTTTCTTACAAAATTTCTTTAGGAAGCACAAGAATATGCCAATCGAAATGGTCTACTGTTTATGGAAACATCTGCCAAAATGGCCACCAATGTAACTGAACTTTTCACCGCCATAGGTAAATGCTATTAATTTTTCAACTATTGTTAGTATTATGTGATTCGATTGTTTTAGTAAATTTAAGTGTGAGGAAATTATCTAATTTCTATTCTAGTGCTTGTGTTGTGATTATTTACAAATAATTTCTATGACTGGAACTGATTGCAATATACCGCACTGGTCTTGCATTTCCACATAACCGTTAGTAGTTGTGAATTGTCTAAGTGTAAACTCATCTTTCTGTTTGCATTTTTATATCTTTTCATAACTCCGTGTTATTTTCAGTTGATATTTCTTTTCTTCGTGAATTAATGGTTTTCTTTTATGTTGGGTAACTGTCACCTGCAGATAAGTGTGACCAGTATTAATTTGTAGAACAGTTAGCGTACGTGATTTCCTAGATGGTTTGAATACTGTTTGTTAGCGACCTAGTTTCATGTTTAATTGGAGTACACATAATTAAAAGACTCTCCACATCTCAACGTTTTTGAGATACATGGTAGTGCCCAGGAATTTAACTGTATGAGGTTTGAAATAGTTACTTTAGTGTCTGCGAAGTTAACCTTATTGCTAATATTGTCATAATGTTTGAAGCCGAATGTTAATTATGGAATTGAAAGTCCGCTTTATGTAACAAGAAGTGCTTTCCTGCCATTAAATTTATCCCGTGTTTATAGGAATATATAACCAAACACCTAACTTTTATGCCTTTCTCAGTATACGATTGGTGGATGGTGGCTAGCAGTGGAATCCAGGATGCGCATTTCGTCCTATTTGGGACTCGTCAGCTGGATGTACCTGCATTTCTCAGTGAGTGATGATGTTCCCACTAAGGCTCGAACCCAGTGCCCATAGTTTCGAACGCCAAAGCGTTATCCACTAGACCACTTGGGCCACGAGAGCCACCTCTTGTGCAAGGGGTCATATTAATTATTGAATTGAATTTTTGATTTTCCCGTCGATTGATTGGATTGAAGTGCTCGGTCTCAGGTTGACATGTCGGCTTCTTGTGCAAATGCTTCGACGATGTCTGGGGATTTGATTTGTATACAACTGGTGGATGGTGACTAGCAGTGGAATCCAGGATGCGCATTTCGTCCAAGAAGCCGACATGTCAACCTGAGACCGAGCACTTCGGTCCAATCAATCGACGGGAAAATCAAAAATTCAATTCAATAATTTTATGCCTTTCTGTTTAAATATTTTATAGCCCTCAGAGTATTTGTGTCTGTACTTGACATTACTATCAGATCCACCGATTAGGCTATTCAAACCACCACTGCCAAAGTTTGCATCTGTAGTCATGTTAAAAGATTTCCAAAGTTGATACGTAAATTTAACCAATTCCCGTGAATTGATATACTTGTTTTTACATAATTCAGTATTCACTCTAGTATTTCTGAAGATATTTCTCATGTGCCTGCAAAATCTTATTTCTGGGTTTCGACTTATTTCAAATCTGAGTTTCATCTAGTCGGTATATAGTTTCAAGCCGGTTCTACTTGCACAGTTCCGGACGGCCAGTCAGTATCATTAGTCTACAGTTACTTGATGTAGTTCTTCAGTTGTATTTTCATGGTGTTGAATAATAATTATTTATCAGCAAGTTTGTTTACAAGTCGATAGGTTTGTAAAAATTAATTTACATCTTTTGCTGTTTCATACATCTGTCTGATCCGTATATACCCTGTGAGACGAATTTTCTGTTTTCTGCACGGTCAGCGGTTGTTTTTTTTATGTTGATAAGTGGATTTTCAGTTCAACTTTTTGTGTGGTTGGTGAATTTATTTCTTATTTATTGTATCATTTCATGTATTTTAATTTGTACTTATTTTAGCCCAACGGTTACCTCACGATACTGAACCATCTAGACCAAGTGGCGGACAACAATTAACTCAAGGCAATTCGCCTTCTCAGCCTAAGCAGTGCTGTAGGTAATCGTGATTTATTCATTTGGATGTTTTGATAAATTATGTGGATCCCATGTTCTCCCAGTCCTCCGGTCCTAACGTCATTTTGCGTTCGTTCAGGCTGTTTTTGATTAATAACTATGCTTTGTGGTCATATTGGTCGCAATGGTTTTACTTTTAAATCTACCTATACAGTTTGTTGTAATCTTCACTGAAGAAAAAAGTGGTCTAAAACATTATTTCAAGATTTGTCAACTTGAATTTCCACTTTGTCACAATTATTAGCCCCCCTAATATTATACACACTTTTATTTGCATCTCTGATTTACATAATTGAATTATAAAATTCGTCATTCATATTACTGTTTTTATCGATTCATTGAAGTTGTTTGTGTGTAACTTGTTATTATTGTTTCTTACTTCATCAATGGAATGTTTATAAATATTCGTTCCGTTTACTGGCTTGTAGGACATCATTTATTCTATCATTGTTTTTTTTCTTTCAAAAGTACTTGATCACTGAATTGTTTTCTTTTTCTTGATTCTATTCTCTCACGCTTAGCGTGTACTCAAAAATTTCTGCTGTGCTGGAATTGTTCCTTCGCGAGTTATGGTTTTTATTGAACACTGATTTCTTTTTTCTACGCGTAGACCAAATAAAAATGTAGAAATGTGTATTACTTCGAAGGAGAAAAACAGTCAATTGCTATCTTACTCTCACCTACCGGCGCCCTACTTGACCACTAGACACATAAGTTCTACCTTGTGGGCAGAATGTGTTTTGAGATCTATTTTGACCATGTGATTTCATGATTTGTTTTTTTTTCTTTTCTATTTTTTCTCTGCGCAGTCTTCTGTACAATAATATCGTGTTACCCATTTATTATTGAATATTTCTTTTGGTTGCAATCAGTTTTCAGAATGGTCGATGGTTATGGGTGCTGCCTAGATTGTATCAGTTACTTGGTGAAAATGTACTTCCAGCATTTTTCGTGCGTTGTTTAAAGTGTTGGTGCACTTCTTACCTTATCAGTATCTGCTACTTTGACGTAGTGGTTGGATTTGCATATAGCAGTGACTCGGCGAGATATGCTGACTGCAGTCGATGTTTCTGCGGGCTCTACCTTGTCAGCAAAGTTGGTTGGGTAGCGATTAAACTAAAGATGACAACCATCGTAGTGTGGTGGTCGTGTGGGCAGTGAAGTTCTGTTGGGGGATAAGGATGTAGCAGTAAAAAGTTTTTTTCTACAAGTCAACTGTACTCTGTCTTCATCATGGAAAAGAAAGGTTAGGAGAAGTCGGCGCTAAAAGTTGTACACTTCAACTTATCTTACAGTGGTTTGGTGGTAGAGGCTGTATGATCTTTTGTATGGATTAAAAAACTAAATCTCCACCTCCGAATAAGTCGTGTTAACCGGTTGCAAGCAGTTGTCTCTTGGTCTTTGACATCAGAAAGAACTGTTTCTTTCCTTTAAATCAGGTTCTTCAGGAAACAAATTGACTTACGTGCTGTGGACAACAAAAAGTAACAGCTATGCACTGGCTTCCATAAGTACACAAAGTTCCTTTGCTCATCACTCCATCTTCTTGCTATTTCACTGCTTATATATTATCCTCTAGACAGTTTATACACGTTTTCTTAATCTCGTGACTGCCGTTATCACCTTGAGCTTTACAAATACCGTTCTCAATCTCTTAAAATTACTGTTAACTTCAGCGTCTGGATCTTATGTCACGTCGAGAAACGGGACATTACTAGGCAAAAGCTTTGGTAAGTTGGGTTTCTGAATGTATGTTGTATCCCTAAGACATACTTTTAGGACAAGTATGGTTATTCATCTAAGCCTATCTGATCAATATTCAGTTTACGAAATTCACTTTAGTTAAGGGGTTCTTTGGCTAGTTATCGTGGATTTGTTGGTGTAGGGATAAAAATTGTGAATAACTTTTGTGTAAGCTAATTGGATTGTTGTTAGGATAAAAAGAAGTCGTAATATACCACACATTCATTCGGTTTCAAGATTTCTCGTTACCGCTGAGAAAGCCTAGAAAGACAATGAAAGATTCGTAATTGAATCACTGGGGTCAGAGAACACGACTTAAGAAAACACCCACCTGAGCTACAAATGTTCATTTTTTCAGTTATGCAACCGCTAATTGAAGTTGGGACGAAGTAAATTATAACTTTCGATAAAGAATGGAAGACGAAATTTGCAGTATAAAATGATATCATTCTATTTCACAGGTTCTCATCAGCTGCAGACTACCTGAAATTACAATGGTTATATAGATGATAATAACATACTTTAATGTTCGAGTGGTGGTAGAGAAGAGATACTATAAAATTGACGCATCTAAATGAAAGCATTACAATGTTTTTAGTTTAAGTTTTCATCATCAATTTATACGCTTTTAAAGTTGAAAAGGGGGGGAGGGGTAAGACAGAAAACAGAAAAAATTGATTAACAGAACAGTGTTAGCTTGTAGGTTCACATAGCAACTCAAGAAACAAAAGCGGTTACAGTTTATGAGATTAAGATTTGTTCAGTGAGTTGAGATCACTGAATTAGATGACTAATCAAAATCAAAATTCTGTTACCAAGGGAGTGAGAGGTTAATCACACTCTCTTTCTGTATGCATAAGTCTGGTTTAAGTCTTTTGATTGCGATTGCTTCGGCAAATCGTAGTAAATTTGCTGTCCTTTGTCTATTTAATATTTTGAAGGACTTAGAAATCTCTACGAGATGTCCGGTATCAATAATGTGTCTGGTAATTGCACTCTGGGAATATCTGCTTCCTTTCAGGCACAGGTTTTTGGGAATATGTTCAGAAAACCGGATAGAAGCCCTTCTTTCTGTCCTTCCAATGTACTTGCTCCCGCAAGTGCACGTGAATTCATAAACGCAGTTGGAGGTGACATCAGCAGGGTATTTATCCAGTTTTGAGTGGATTAAAGAAGGAGTGGTGCTGTATACTGTTATGAGTTTTGCTGCCGGGAAGCTTCTATTTATTGCACCTTTCAGTCTTTTGTCAATCTTTTGTGACACTGCATCTCCTTTGTATGGTAGACAGATAAACACTTTTTTCTTTTCTACAGTTGGATGCTTTTCTTTCTCATCTTTTTCTCTGCTGTACTTCTGAATAAATCCCTTAGGGTATCCATTTTCCCTTAGGCATTTCTCGACGAAAACTAATTCTTCTTCGACCCTGTTTGGTGAACATAGCTTCCTGGCTCTGTCATACAAAGTCCTCACTAATCCACGTTTATAGCTTATGGGACAAAAGCTGTTATAGTGAAGATATTGTCCAGTCCAGGTTTCTTTTCTATAGATGGACTTTTCGACCGTGCCTTCGTTTGTTCTTTTTACATTTAGATCCAGGAAATTGAACTCATTATTATGTTCATATTCCATGGTGAATTTGATATTTGGATGTATCTCATTTAGGCGATCATATAGTGCCGATGCGTGATCCATATCGTTGCAAACAACAAATGTGTCATCAACATATCGGCGATAGTAGGTAGTTCCATTGATAGCAGAACTTAGTTGTGTCTGCTCAAGGTAGGCCATGAAGATATCAGCCAGGATAGGTCCCAGAGGCGAACCCATCGATTTGTCGGTAAAGTTGATCATTGAATTTGAATTGTATATCTTTTGTGCAGAGCAGTGGAAGTCGCTTCATCTCTGTTTCCGGTAATGGTAGTAGATCCGTTTATTTACAAATTATATCAATTGTAATGCTTTCATTTAGATGCGTCAATTTTATAGTATCTCTTCTCTACCACCACTCAAACATTAATGTAGTCTGCAGCTGATGAGAACCTGTGAAATAGAATATCATTTTATACTGCAAATTTCTTCTTCCATTCTTTATCGAAATTTATCAAGGGAACCAAATGTATGAATTTTTTCAAAAGACGCCTGCTGCACCAACTATTAAGTCACTGAATCAGGTGGTGACCATACGATGCAGAATATCTAGAGAATCAACAAAGATCAGGTTCTATGAACAGTGTTTGGAAACAGGTTGTTTCCTACGGCATTTCCTGAAACAAGTGCGATCGGCTAAACTCCCACCTTCTCAAAAGAATCTCCGTCGAATAACAAAATCTCACATCGAATCGTCATACCAGTATCTCTCCGAATTGAAATCTCATCTGGCTACCTATGATACTTTATTGAGTGAGCTTAATATTATCTGCTGGCTTAAATTCATGAACTTTATCAAAGAGCTACAATCAAAAACATACGAGGATTATGAAACTCAGCTGACAAAAGCGTTGGTGAGAGAGAAGCTAATTGAATTCCCAGAAGTACCTGAACGCTACGTTTGTAATCTATCAAAATTACAATTAAACAAAATCGAATTAGAAGCCTTATCTCTAGGATTCAAGTTTCACGTCCCCAAGAAGCACATCAGTCGTATAGATACAGAAGCACAATTCGAGCACTTATACCATCAACTCTACGACGTGAAGCCCTTAGACGAAGATAAAAGAGGATGGCTAAAGTCTAAACTTGTTGATATTGCTAACCAATACCACATATCACCAATGGAGAAGCAGAAGGTGCTGACCGAAGAGCATAGAATAGCTCCTGTGCCTGAAAGGAAGCAGATATTCCCAGAGTGCAATTACCAGACACATTATTGATACCGGACATCTCGTAGAGATTTCTAAGTCCTTCAAAATATTAAATAGACAAAGGACAGCAAATTTACTACGATTTGCCGAAGCAATCGCAATCAAAAGACTTAAACCAGACTTATGCATACAGAAAGAGAGTGTGATTAACCTCTCACTCCCTTGGTAACAGAATTTTGATTTTGATTAGTCATCTAATTCAGTGATCTCAACTCACTGAACAAATCTTAATCTCATAAACTGTAACCGCTTTTGTTTCTTGAGTTGCTATGTGAACCTACAAGCTAACACTGTTCTGTTAATCAATTTTTTCTGTTTTCTGTCTTACCCCTCCCCCCCTATTTTCAACTTTAAAAGCGTATAAATTGATGATGAAATCTTAAACTAAAAACATTGTAATGCTTTCATTTAGGTGCCAAGTTCTATGTTGAATCCAGACAGACAGACAGGTTGTTGGTTGGTTCATTGCCAGAAAAGGATTCTCTTCTCATCTTCGGAATCGAACTGAGGCATCTGTTTATAAGAGTCTGCAGTCGCCTGTTGGAAATGCTTTTAATGACGCACCAAGTCTCGTACCTGAGTTTAGGCAGTGATGTGACATTAGTGTTGAAAATTAGGATAATGCTCCTTGTGCTTAGTGCTGTAGAGTGCCGAATGCCTGTTTCGCTTTCCCTATCCTGTATAGCTCTGACGTCCTCATTCATAATGTCTGTAATTGAGATGATTCTGCCTAGGTCAGGTAAGTGAAAGAGACCACTTTCTTTAGACTTCTCCTAACTATAGTGATAGGTATTTGTTGTTGTTGATGGATGTGAACTTCGTGTACTTTAATTTGTCCGGAATGACTTGTTATGGGAGAAAAGCCTCGTTGATCTAAAGTGTGCAAATGTTGTTGTCAATTTTTGTAAAGACGATGACACAGTCAGGTCTTCTGAAGACTGTAAAAATCTATGTTTGGGGCTGACGTCATTAGGCGGA